GAATTCCTTCCATCTATTAACAAGCTATTCCATTACTGTAAAATTCTTTTGACTTTGATTCGAAGAACTCACAAATGTCAGTTTTAACCTCTTCCTGTGTTACAAAAGCTGTTTCTTCCAAATGATTCTGTAAGCTACGAAACAAATGGTAGTCTGAAGGAGCAAGATCGGGAGAATAAGATGGATGAGGAATTTTCTTCTAACCAAGTTCTTCGATTTTTTGTGAAGTGATTCTTGTTGTTTGGGGTCGCGCATTGTCCTGATGAATCATCATCTCTTTTCGATTCACTAAAGCAGGTCTCTTTTTCCTCAAAACTTGGTTCAAATGCTCTAATTATTGACGGTATATTTGAGCATTAATTGCTGCATTATGTGGTAAGATTCAAAGTGGTTTATTCCTTGGCGGTCCCACCAGATTGAAAGAAGAATCTTTTTGCCCATGAAGTTCCCCTTCTCGGTTGTAGCTGGGGTCCTTCCCCTTTACCAAGCCACTGTCTACGACGCTTAACATTTCGATAAAAGATCCATTTTTCGTCGCCAGTCACAAGTCTATCCAAAAAAGTGAAACAAGTTGGGAGAATGGAGAGAAGAGCAGATGTCAACTCAGGATTTGAGGTTGTTTTCAGACAATTCATGAGGCACCCATTTTCCAAGTTTAGGAACTTTTCCAAGTTGTTAAGATGACGATGAACAATTGTATGGTTTGAACTGAGAACCACTGCCAATTCCTCAACTGATAAAGCAGGATTTTCTTCAAGGGCTGCTTCAAGAAGCTTTTCATCAAACTCAACTGAACGTCCGGTTCGATCTTCATCTTCAAGGGTGAAATCTCCACCTCTGAATTTTGCAAACCATCTTCTGCAAGTTCTTTCGTTCACACATTCCTCTCCATAAACTGATTGAATGTTTCTAGCCGCTTCGGCTGCTGAGTTTCCTTTCTTGAACTCATAAAGCATTATGTGCCTCAAATGATTATTGGGTACTTCCATGTTAGCAGGGTTTTAATCAAACAAAATTTAATTTTATTGTTCTCTGAAATATAATTTGATCAGTTTAAATGCATCTAAACATAAAAATAATGTTCAGCTCCATTAGACATTATAAAATACTCTTTAAATTTCGTTCATTTTAACAAAAAGTTAAAATTCGGACAGAACTTATGGGATGACCTAATATTTTGGGATACTTTTATGAGCTTTTTGTTTCGCATTGAATATGGTATATTTAGAGTACAGACAGGAGAAACTTTATGGTGTTTTTCAATATATTTCTTCTCTTCATGTAAACACTGAAGGCTGCAAATTATGATTGCTTTTAAATAGTATTAGATCATGATTCCGGATTTTATTTTGTTGTTCTGATGAGAATAGAAATTTATAAGATTATTTTTATTAGTTAATTTTTCACAGGACACTAAGTTTTAAGCTACTGTTAACGGGGTGTAGCATGATATCAAGGCAAATTAAAGTATTGTTTTTATTTCGTATATGAATTCTATTGCCTGTTTGAATTTGTTTAATTTATCGACAATATCATGTATGTCAGTATCACGAGGGATATATTAATAGAGCGTCATCAATATATAGGAAGAAATTGGATTGTTAAGGTAAAATATTTTGGTAAGAAGTCTTTTATTGTTTAGATGTAGCTCTCTATGAATACTGACTTTTAGTTAAATTCTTTTCGTTTGTAATTGTGGTCGAAAGTTGTGTGGGTAAATCTATATATTTTTGGGTCCATTGGGTTTGTCAGGAGGGGTCGCTTTTCTATTTTTGAATATTTATGAGCCTTTTGTTTCGCATTGAATATGAAAGAGAGAAGGAATCTGAGGCTCCTTAAAGTACATTCAATATATTTATCCTTTTCGTGTAAATATTCAGGGCTGCAAATTTTTAGTGCTCTTAAGTAAAATCCAATGGTTATTCGGATTTTATTTTGTTGTTATGATGAGAAAAGAAATTTATGAAATCATTTTTATTAGTTAATTTTAGTTTTAAGCTGCTGTCAACACGGTGGAGCTTGATATCTAAAAAAGGTAAGGTATTTTTTTTCTTTCATTTTGTATGTAAATTCTATTATATGTTCGACTTTGTTTGGTTTACCTACAAGATCATGTAAGTCAGTATCACGAGGATATATTAATAGAGCATTATCAATATACAGAAAGTTTGTTGATTGTTTAGGTAAAATATTTTGGACAGGGACAGATTCGAGAAATTCTAATAAAATGCATGTCATCTATTCACTAAGAGACGATCCAATTGGTAATCGAAATGTGTGTTTGTAAAAATTATTATTAAATGTGAAATATTAGGTTGGTGCAAAAATAATGACGTAATAATGTCGTTTTGTGACGTATTTTTTAACCTCAAAAAACGACATTATTACGTCATTATTTTTGCACCAACCTAATAGTATTGATTGGTGATGGGACAGTAGATTTTTTATTACTTTAGATAGTGATAGGGAGATGTAAGATGTTTTTTAAGAGATTTAAGCAGTTTTCAACCTGGACATTTGTGTAAAGTGATTTTATATCTAGACTGGCCATGAGTTTATCAGTTGTATTTAATTCCCTTCGTTTTTCAACTTGGTTGCCTGAGATTTTTATGTGTGATGGACTGGTTTTTCCAAGGATATGTGTTAACATGCTTGTTAAGTCTTTAAGCAGCTTGTGGAGGGCTGCCTGTTCATGAAATAATGGGTCGCATAGGGATGCCTGTTTTGTATGTTTTAAGAACGTAAAATCTAAGTTATTTTAGGGTAATACTCTATTACTCTATACCATTTGTTTTCATTTTTAAATAGTCTGTTTTTCGATGGACATTAATTTTTACGTTAACGCTGTGTCGCATGATATCTACAAAAAGTAAAGTATTGAATGTTTCCATTTCATATGTAAATTCTATTTTATGTTAGACTTTGTTTAGTTTATATACAAGACTAGCTGCATGGCACGGCGTTGCCCTTGCTTGATTCAAAAATCGTACGACTCATACAGCAATCGCTATCACTTGACTTAAAATATTTTTGCCTTTCCTTGCCTTTAAAGTAGTGCCCTTTGCCGTGCTGATGTTGCTACATGCCTTACTTCTTGCTTATCTCACATTGCGAATTTTTTCTAAGCTCTATACTAAACATTAAATCTGTTACGAAAAAAGAACTAAACAAAATGAACACAAAACGATCAGCTTTAAAAAAGGACTCGTAACTGGAAAAACCGAATGAAAAAAGAAAAACAAATCCTTTTTCACACCCAGCCCTGTTCTGCGGAATCAGAATCAACGTTGAATTTAAGCAAGCGAATGAGCCAATTGGAGTAAAGTGCCATGCAGATTTAAATTTTTCCCACTTGTGACGAATGCAGCTATCGATTTTTGCATGCTAGCATGCTAGTTAAAATTTGTGTCAGTCAGCTGTTGGCTCTCACGCTGGCCAATACAATCTTCCTGCCTATTCGTGGCAGCCAGCTATTGGCTCTCACTCTGGCCAGTACAGAATGTCCGCAAACTACATGAAAACTGTCGTAGAAGGATGAAAAAATCGATTATTTCCACTATCGACGGTAGTTGGGAAAAGTCGGCCTTAGCCTTCCTGCTAACTTGGAGCAAATACGTCGAAAATTGCGGCCGTGCCTTCGTTACACATACACACACACACAGACACACACACGTCCTGACTTTTATAGATAGAGATCAGGTAAATATATTAACAGCGCATCATCAATATATCGGAAGTTTATTGATTGGTTAGGTAAAATATCTTGGAAAAGACTAGATTCAAGGAATTCTAAAAAAAAAAAAAATACATGCCATTACCCCATTTAGGGGATATCCCATTGGTAATCGTTATTTTTGTTTATAAAAATTATGGCTAAATGTGAAAAAGCATTGATTGGTGATGAGATGACAAATTTTTACTGTTTCAACTATTGGTAATGAGAGTTTTATCTTTGATTATGTTAGATGTATTTATAAAGGGAGTTAAGCATTTTTCAAGCAGGACGTTAATTTAAAGTGATTTTTTAAGCATTTCACCCCAAGCAAGGCAGGAGTGCCACTAGCACGCAAGGGGTTACAGAGAGTGTTGTAGATTCCGAGATGAAATTCGGTCTCCAATGAATCACAAACGCAAGAAATAAAGATGAGAAATTAAATGTATTTACACAATAATACAATGGGTAATACTGTTAGTAAATCCAGGAACGCGGTCAGTCGTAATAATATATATATATATATATATATATATATATATATATATATATATATATATATATATCAATCTCGAAGTAGGACTTCCTTAGAGTCTACGTGCTTGTAACTGACTTCTACAAGCGGTTACCTCACACTATTACTCTACCTCCAACTCCATCACAATCTCTGCTCACTCTCCTAATCTCTATCAATCTCTGTATATTCTGACTGACTCAGGGTATTTAACGGCAACAGTCCCAGTAACACTCTGGTCGAGTCCACTTATATGAAAAAGGGGAGGACTTCATAACAGAGAGTGAGAGCAAGAGTAAAGAGGGTTGGTTTATGAATACAGAGAAGGACAGGGATCAAGGTCAAGGCATCAGAAGATGTCGATTGACATTACATTTGAATATTTGAAGATTATAACTATCAGGGAAGCAAGTAAGAGGAAGGGAGTTCCACTGTCGGGAAGTGCAAAAGAAGAAGCTGTTGGAGTAGAAGAGGCGGTTACATTTAACTGTTTAGACACTGAGCGAGTGGGACCGAGATGCCAACCTAGTGGTACGCTTAAATTCATGCAGTTGGGGCACCAGTGAAAAAAGCTCATCAGAGCTGGTGCCATGAAAAGACAGAGGGAAGCCACATCAAGTCTGAGGGAAAGTGACTGTAGACGAGATGAAGACCTCGATCTAAACTTGCCAGGAGTTTGTCAGTTTTATTTGATTTTTTTTATGGCTTTCGCCAGTTTGTGGTGATACCTGGGATAATGTGACGCATTGAGATGTTTGTCTTATGGGGTTTAAGGAGGCCTTAAAATTTGGATATTCTGGGGTGAAATCCTATTAGTCTATACCATGGTTTGTTTTCATTTTTAATTAGTTTCCTAATCACCCTATTAAATTTTTGTGTTCCTGTCATGATTTTCCATTTATTAATTTATGTCTGTCGTTATAGTTGGAAAGTAAATTAATGGAAAGTGCCCGATACGAGAAATTATAAGAAAATGCTTGCCATCAGGGCACTAAGAGGCGATCCCATTGCTAATCCATTTCCTTCTTAATAAAAGTTATTATTAAATGGGAGATTGCATTGATTGGTAATAAGACGTCATTTTTTTTAATTATTTTAGTTATTCGTAGGGAGAGGTTTCTGTTCATGTTAGATGCTTTTTAGGAGATTTAAGTATTTTTGAATCGGAACATTGGTGTTAAGGGATTTTATATTTAGACTGGCCACAAGTTTGTTACCTTTAGTTTCTCAGTTAGGCTTCCTGAATTTTTCTATATGTGATGGACTGATTGTTTGAAGAATGGATACAATGTTTGTTATGGCTTTTTCTAGTTTGTACGGAGCACTGTGTATTCCTTAAATAATTGAGCGCATTGTGATGTCTGTTTTATGGTGTTTAGGGCGAGCGTAAACTTTGGGTAAACTAGGGTGATGTGTTATTACTCTGTAGTAAGATATGATTTTTTTTAAATAGTTTCCTAATCAATTTATTAAATTTTTGTGTTTCAGTAATTATTTTCTATTTATTTATTTATAAGTATTTTCTATTTATTCACTTATAAGTAATTATTTTCTGTTTATTTATTTATAAGTATTTCTATATATTTACTTATAAGTAATTATTTTCTATTTATTTATAAGCAATTATTTTCTATTTATTTACTTATGAGTAATTGTTTTCAATATATTTACTTATAAGTAATTATTTTCTATCTATTTAATTATAAGTAATTATTTTCTATTTATTTATGAGTAATTATTTTCTATTTATTCACTTATAAGCAATTATTTTCTATTTATTTCCTTATAAGTAATTATTTTCAATATATTTACTTATAAGTAATTATTTTCTATTTATTTAATTATAAGTAAATATTTTCTATTTATTTACTTATAAGTGATCATTTTCTATTTATTTATGTGTAATTATTTTCATTTATTTATAAGTAATTATTCACTATTTATTTACTTATTAGTAATTATTTTCTATTTATTTATTTATAAGTAATTATTTCCTATTTATTTATTAATAAGTAACTATTTTCTGTTTATTTACTTATAAGTAATTATCTTCTATTTATTTATTTATAAGCAATTATTTTCTATATATTTATTTATGAGTAATTATTTTCTATTTATTTACTTATAAGTATTTTCTATTTATTTACTTATAAGTAATTATTTTCTGTTTATTTATTTATAAGTATTTTCTCTTTATTTACTTATAAGTAATTATTTTCTATTTATTTATTTATAAGCAATTATTTTCTAATTATTTACTATTAAGTAATTATATTCTATTTATTTATTTATAAGCAATTATTTTCTATTTACTTACTTATAAGTAATTATTTTCAAAATATTTACTTATAAGTAATTATTTTCTATTTATTTAATTATAAGTAATTATTTTCTATTTATTTACGTATAAGTAATTATTTTCTATTTATTTATGAGTAATAATTTTCTATTTATTTATAAGTAATTATTTACTGTTTATTTACTTATTATTAATTATTTTCTATTTATTTATTTATAAGTAATTATTTTCTATTTATTTATTCATAAGTAACTATTTTCTGTTTATTTACTTATAAGTTATTATTTTCTATTTATTTATTTATTTATTTATAAGTAATTATTTTCAATTTATTTATTTATGTGTGTTGTTATAGTTAATTAGTAAATGAACGTTGTCCTTCTTATTCATAATAACAATCCCATCTCCTTTGTTCGACGAGGTAATCTGGATGTTCTTTATTTTTTTGCTAGGTTCCTTCCCATAGCGGCGCTGAATTGTTGCCCAGCGCCACTGAGGTAAAGATCTTTCACTGTTTATTTATAGAGTGGCCGTGATTATTCCTTGATTAAAGACTTTAGCAAATTCTGTGTCGTTTTACCTGTGATTTTTAATTATTGTGTCAACTAGATCACCTTTATGAATCCCGGAGGGCTTCTAGTGTCGTCGTGGATAGCTTTATATTTATAGAACCGGCCTTCCCATACATTTCTATTTGCTGTATATATATATATCTATATATATATATATATATATATATATATATATATATATATATAGATAGATAGATAGATAGATAGATAGATAGATAATATTAGTGGTAAATATACATGCATATGCAAAATATATAAATACCGATACATGTATATTTTTTTAAAGTAAAAATGCCAAGAGGAAGAATCCAGGTAGAACTCAATGTCCAGGACAGATAGATAGATAGATAGATAGATAGATAGATAGATAGATAGATAATATTAGTGGTAAATATACATACATATGCAAAATATATAAATACCGATACATGTATATTTTTTTAAAGTAAAAATGCCAAGAGGAAGAATCCAGGTAGAACTCAATGTCCAGGACAGAGTAAGGATATAATAAAAAGGCTTAAACACTAATATTCCATGGTTACATTTACCCCCGATTGGACAATGGCCTTTTTTCCTACAATTGCAGGTAGGGTTACTAGACTGAGTTCCATTACTGTGGTAGTGTTTTAAGTATTCTGCAATTATGGGAAGGTATGATTTTCTCTATATTTCTAACGCATGAGTAACTAATTTTTAGAGTCTTTCTATTGAAAATTTTACGTGGTGGATGTTTACTGTGGAAATGTTTATCAATTAATTTCAGAAAAAAACTTCCTATATCAATGCTAACCATGGAATATTAGTGTTTAAGCCTTTTTTTATTATATATATATATATATATATATATATATACAAAGAATAATCACACATAGAATTAATCAGAAGTATTAATGCGATTATTGGCGACATCCATCGCTAGAAAACATAATATATGCATTAAAATCCACGATCTTACACACCCGTCAACAATAGCAGATATTCAAAAAACATCTTTCGGTCGACATACAGATATATCGTCTCAAGTTTTTGATTTTATAAGATAAACAACACATGCCTGATGATGGATGGAAGGCCGTCCGTAAGTACTAGCATTTTAACATCAAATAAACTGAAAAACTACAGACAACAAGTTTTTCTTCAAGGATCAAAACTCGCACTCTGGATGAACAGGATTTTAATGCATATATTATGTTTTCTAGCCAATAATCGCATTAATACTTCTGATTAATTCTATGTGATTATTCTTTAATATGTAAATCATATGCTGCCTAATGTTTTATATATATATATATATATATATATATATATATATATATATATATATATATATATATATATATTTTTTATTTTATACATTCTTTTTTATAGAATATTTCAGAAAATCTGTTTATAATAAACAGTATTAAACAACATTTACAGACAGGCCGGTAAATGTTGTTTAATACTGTTTGTTATAAACAGATCATTTTGTTAAATATTTGTGTTTATAAAAAGAATGTATAAACATAAAAAATGTCTTAAAATAATCGTCGGACTTTGTCCATTTCATAACATATATATATATATATATATATATATATATATATATATATATAGAGAGAGAGAGAGAGAGAGAGAGGGAAATTCAGATTACCAACACACAAACAGAAAATGTCTCATATCGAGAATATTTAACATTGAACATGAGGAAAAATTAATTATTATTTTTAATAATATGTGGAAATCTCCACTTTTACCTGAAGACGGTCGCGAGACCAGAAACCCGTGTCGTAAAATTATGTAAAACAAAGCATAATATTTTTTCTAAATAAATCCACATTACAACCAAAAACGTTTGCGGCACCTCTCTTCTCTTCTTTTTAATATACATACTTTTCTCTCGTTGGAACCACTACATTATATTTCTTTTATATATATATATATATATATATATATATATATATATATATATATATATAATGACAATTGGTAATTGGTAGGATAATTCCAAAGAGGACATTAATCCAAAGAGAGCTCAATGTAAGTAACAGAGCAATAAAATAATAGTATGCAAAGACGATGACGTTTGAAAGTACCTTCATTATATTCTATGTACTTTTTATTTCGGCCATTAATATCTATTACTTCTGCTGAAATATAGGATGTACGTGAGATGGTACAATCATAGGTCGTTATTCATGCTATTAAGTCTTAGGTGTTCTATCTGACTCGCTGACTATGTGTGGAATTTAAAAGAAAATAACAACAGGGATCTGATCGTAAGATGGAATTTTTTTTTAAAAAAGGCGAAGACTTATAACAACCACAAGAATATTTGAAACGTTTGCTAAAAGGAAAATTTAAGAATTATGATATTCCCAGATCCAAGGAGCCTTTTGAACTGGAAGTCCAAAATCTCGAGTCCTTGCATACATATTAAGAAATTCCTCTTAAGCACATATGAGGCTAGATAAAAAAAAATGCACATTTAAATTAACTCCGCGCCGATACTTTTATAATACCTTTGATTATTATTGTTTTCTTCTTCTTCTTCTTCTTCTTCTTCTTCTTCTTCTTCTTCTTCTTCTCGTCATTCTTCTTCTTCTTCTTCTTCACCCTCTCCTCCTCCTCCTCCTTCTTCTTCTCCTCTTCCTCCTCCTCCTTCTTCTTCTTCACGTCATTCTTCTTCTTTTCCTTTTTCTTCTTCTTCTTCTCTTCCTCCTCCTCCTCCTCCTTCTTCTCGTCATCTTCTTCTTCTTCTTCTTCTTCTTCTTCTTCTTCTTCTTCTTCTTCTTCTCCTCCTCCTCCCCGTACTTTTTCTTCTTCTTTTTCTGCTTCTTCACCTCCTCCTCCTCCTGCTTCTTCTTCTTCTCGTCATTCTTCTTCTTCTTCTTCTTCTTCTTCTTCTTCTTCTTCTTCTTCTTCTTCTTCTTCTTCACCTCCTCCTCCTTCTTCTTTATCTTCTTCTTTTCCTCCTCCTCCTCCTCCCCGTTCTTCTTCTTCTTCTTCATCTTCTTCTCCTCCCCGTTCTTCTTCTTCTTCTTCTTCTTCACTTCCTCCTCCCCGTTCTTTTTCTTCTTCTTTTTCTGCTTCTTCACCTCCTCCTCCTCCTTCTTCTCTTCCTCCTCCTGCTTCTTCTTCTTCTCGTCATTCTTCTTCTTCTTCTTCTTCTTCTTCTTCTTCACCTCCTCCTCCTTCTTCTTTATCTTCTTCTTTTCCTCTTCCTCCTCCCCGTTCTTCTTCTTCTTCTTCTTCTTCTTCTTCTCCTCCTTCTTCTTCTTCTTCTTCTTCTTCTTCTTCTTCTTCTTCTTCTTCTTCTTCTCCTCCACGTTCTTCTTCTTCTTCTTCTTCTTCTATCAGGTCTACACAAAGGATATAATATAAAACGTAGACATAATTACTAGATTTAAAACAGAATGTGTCTCCTTTGCTTACGATGTGGTCTGCAAGGTTCACAGCTCATTGTATGCGTAAATCAATTCATGTCTGTCTATAACAGAGTTGTGTTTGTAGTGTCTGTCGATAACATATCATATACAGGCTTAAGGTTATTTAGTTATAGCGGGTGCGAGGGATAATGCGTACCTATAGCCATATTTTTTTTATCATTTCACCACGGGTCAGGTGATAAAGCCACTAAGATGCAAGGGGTTAATAAATGTTAAATAATCTGAGAAAAAATATTAAAGGGATGGAAAAATAAAAAGAGCAGGAGTTAGGAAGTCAAACGATAACTTGCATTTACTTTTTGAAAATCAAACTTGACTGGAACGCAAGAAACCGGAAGCGAGTTCCACAAGCGATAAATGCAAGAGAAGAAACTGTCAACATAGAACTTCCGGTTAAATCTAAACATTTCAACTGTAAAATGAGGAGACCTATCTGCCAATCGAGTACTACGCTTAAATCCATAAAGTGGAGGCACTAAAGCGGCAAGCTCATCAGAATAATTGCCATGAAAATATTTATAGAAATGGCAGACGGAAGCAAAATTACGGCTGTGGGAAAGTGACTGAAACTGAGATTCCATATTAATCTGGTTTATTTAAGTGGATTATTTATTTATTTAATTACTAGTACTTGTGAATTCCCATAGAACCAATCACACGTCATTACAGATCCAACACTAGTTTGCTTCACGTCTAACTGAAAGTTTCGACACTCAGGAAGGAAACCCCCATCGATAAAGATAAAGGAAAACCCCATCGATTAAGAGCGATAACAGGTACTGGATTTGAGAAACCTAATTTCCTGAGAAATTCTTTTAAGAGAACGATTTTATAACTTTAAACCGAAAGCAGTACTGTCTGCTTGGTCAATGAATGTCAATACTTTCCTTATAGGGAAACGGCTAATACTACCAATACCATGTGACCGGGTCAGGGTGGACCGGAGAACAACAGCAATTAATAAATGGCTACACGCTCCTCAAAACTTCCAATCTCCAGAACGGTGGCCTTGGTCCCGGATGTGGTTTATCGTCATACCCAGGAATAGCAATTGAGAGGTGATACCACGCACCTCAAAACTTCCAATCACCCGATCAGCGGCCTCGCTGTTAGATGTAGTTTACTGTCATCCCCAGGACTTGATTTGATTTGACAAATTAGTTTCTTGCCCCCCCCCACTTTTTTTTTTTTTTTTTTTATTTTTTTTATTTTAGTTTGGTTCTATATTAAATAATGTACGAAAGAATTTTGATGTGTTTACTCACACAAGTAGTATTTTTTGTGTGTGACAAATGCTTTCCGTATGTTCTTAGCGATGACCTCATACGTTTAACCTATTTTGACTTTATTCTATATGACATCAAAACAGAAAAGCCAGGAGTTCATGACTAAATGCAAAACAATGCAAAGCGAAATATAAATAAAGTTTGTTTTCTATAAAAGAAAGGATTAATTCGATATGAGTCACTATTTAAAGACAGATTTGTGTGTTTTGGCGGGAAACGTAGGCTAAAAGAAATAAGGAGTCACTGCAAAAAACATCTTCGAATTTAAAATAAGACCTGCTATTAATGGTCTTCATTAGATAGACTATTCCTCACCAAAGCAAGTCATAACGATAGCGAACACACTGCCAAAAATCACATACACATTTATTACAAAAACCAAATGCATATTAATTACAAACAAGACGAATCATCTCTAAGACATATTATAAAGAAATATACTACTCCAATTGACCCGAATAAAAAAATCAAATTTATTATCTATTATAAAAATTTAAGACGGCCAACCTTATCCTCAAAAATAACAACACACCAACTAAGTCAAAATTACAAAGAACGAACATTATCTATGAGTTCAAATGCCCCTTAAGGAACTGTGTTCCTGATCAAACCGAATTCATAAATAATTACATCGGTTACACAACTACATGCTTATCCAGACGTCTTACGATACACCTATCTGATTACAG